ATTTGATGTATTTTTTTCTGTTTCCATTGAGTTACCCGATAGACGCATCGGAACGCGACGAGATCTCGCGCAAGTGCTAACCCGCCGCCTACCACCGATAACTTTTGATCTATCATAGTTGAAGAAAACCTTATAGAATAAAAAATGTGTATTTTTACAGATCAAACATCTTTTATTTTTTGAAACTTTTTCCCCTATTTATAACCATTTCCGTCATATGATCTCATAAAAAATTTAATTGTTAATAACTTTTGTTTCTATCAGTTCTCGTCGAAACGACTTTCAAATTCGGATTCAACGCTCCAAAAACCATCAAACAATATCAAGTCGACCAGTAACCCCAAAAATGTACACCAAATGGTAAATAGCGAATGGACTATTGGGGCTGCAAGTCGGTGCTGACCCAAAAACGCAAATTGAGCATTCTCACGGTTTTTAGAAACTAACATAGCCATGCTGCTGTCATTGACGGTTTCCAATACAATCAGACAGTTTCTGGACGGAAACTGGACTTAAGTGTCACCATGAGACTGCTTAGGTAAGGCAGTCCATGCTTATGAAAACTGAAATTCTTTTAGTTTCGCGAACTAAATAATATATGAAATATTACTTGCTTGTAAATAAAATAATCGATATACAGACTAGTTCCCTACGTCACAAATTTTAAAAAAGTTTACGCACAATTCAAAAGAAAATTTTTTGTCATGAAAATCGGATTTTCAAAGTTTGCTGAATTTTGTCCTCGTGAATTCATATTAGCTGGTAAAAATGGAACTCATTCGGTCTGCGTTTATGAAATTCATCAAAATGTTAAATTGAAATTGCTAGGGATAAAGGACTTTGAATTACCGGATTCATTTGATGACTAGGCATGTCCGAAAAATTACTAAAAATTTTTAAGTGTAACGATGTGTGAGAATGCAACTCCATCATGCCACCTTGGTGAATGCTCTGAACGTCCCGCTAACTTTTGCATAAAAAATCTTTTTAGAAGAGTATTTGTGACGTAAATTCCATTGACTCAGTGGCATACATGGCTTGGACTACATCGGGTTGATCTGAATTAATTCGACGAATTGCGGATACTGATTCTTTCATAACTCATTTGTATAACGATTTGAAATATGTGAAACCGGGCGATCTCGTCATTGTTTGCGACTTTATTGAAAATTACCGATTCCTTATTCAAGATGCTGTTCCGGGCTATCACTGGGCAAAAGATCAAGTAACTATTCAGCCGCTAGTTGTATATTACTGCAATGATGCTCAATAGAAACACGATAGTTTTGTAGTTATTTCCGAATCCTCTAAAAAAATTATTTTGAAAAGAAAATATTCCGTTAAAAAACTTTGCCATTTCCCTGATGGTACCAGTTCCCAATATGAAAATAGAAAAAAAATTTATTAACCTGGTTTACCATCAAGCGGAATTTGGTGTCGATGATGAATGGCATTTCTTTGCAACGTTTCACGGTAATTCACCTCGTGATGGGATTAGTGGTACGTTTAAGAGAGCCGCAGCTATAAATATCGTATGAAACTGCCAAAGAATCGATTGATTCCATTCCAACCATTTTTTGTACAAATAAAGATCATGCACTGGAAGAGCAAGCGTTGAAAATTCGATTGGAAAATCAAATCAAATGGGTGAACCCATTGTTGGCACTCGTCAATTTTATTATTTTATACTCATAGTCTCAAATGTAGAATTCATTTCCTGGACGATGAATTCGAAATTCGAAATATTGTAAAATGACTTACAAAAACATGCCACTTTGTTGAATATACCTACAGAATTTTGTGCCATTTTTGTTTTCAATAGGTTAATCTTCGGAATGAATCCACTGCAATCCTTCGATTTTCACATTCTCTAATTTTAATTGGAAATCATGTATTTTTATTTATTTATAACTGCTCTTCAGGGACAACGCGCTATGGCATTGGGGATACACGTGACACATAAATAGAATAGAAAAAATAAACAGTAATAATCAGGTAAAAACCGACGTCGGTGGCCGAGTGGATTAGACGCAAGTCTAGTGTGTGAAAGGTTGTGAGTTCGATTCCCCGTGGAACCGAATTTTTCAACGGAAGGCCCCGGCGAGCGGGAGGTTGCTAATAGAGGAACCGCCTGTACCGGCATGGGTTTTCTGTGGTTTCCCCATGCTATTTCTATGTTCTATAGGAGTGCGAATGCGGTACAGTGTAGAATCCACAGCCGCATGCATAGGGTTGGATAGAGTGCCGAATGGGACCCAAAAAGGGACTCCGAGGCCGCAAAAAAAAAAAATCAGGTAAAAAATCATACCGGTAATAGCGAGATTAAGAATGATGTAGAAATGTCTGAAACGTAAAAATAGAAAGTTTGGCCGTGTCGGTATGTGACCACGTCCACCGCTGTTTCCGGTGGTCAATTTGTAGATAATTGTGTAATTAAGTGGCTAAAGTAATTCCTAAAAATGTTGTCAGATTCTAGGTCTTAATGAGGACTAACTCTGTGCAAAATTTCAACCCGATCGATTCAATAGTTTTGGAGAAAAAACGATTCGTTTTTAAATCGTTTTCCGCAAATATCTTCAAAACTAGCCACCCGATTTTTATTCTTTCATTTTCCAAATATTTGTTTCGATGCCTCCTATTTGAATTAATCAACAGATCTACATCCGTTTATACAAAGTTTTCGAGATATTCCCGTTTATCCGTTTTTTCATAAAAGAAAAAGATCTTAAACACTCTAGCTTGTGCAAAAATCGAGATATCAACTTTAAATTGGGGCAGAAACTTTCTCTCACGATAACAATATTTCGTATTGGAAATGGGTTCAATCGTATCAACAGTTTCGGAGATATTCGACTTTTTTGTGAAAATCTTCTACAGGGTGACAAATGGGAATTGATGAAAATTAAACTACCATAGTTTCGTTGATTGATGTAAGAAAGGAAGGACCATCATGTTCGTATACACAATAGACTATACAAATTTATTTGCAATTAGTTAGAGTTGCATTTAACTTTTTTTAAAATAAAAATCACTACCCAAATCAAATCAGTTGGATGATTTTTGAAATATTTTTCTACACGGTGAAAGAATTTATTAAACACATTCGAGGGCATATGACTAATGGTAAATATAATACTCTCGAAGTGTCCTCGTGACTTGTTCAATTTTAGCTTGAGAAATATTAGAAACACCCTTCTGGATAGCCCTTATCAGAGCCTCTTTTGTCTGAAGATTGTCCGCGTAACAGAAGTCTTTGAGATAACCCCACAAGAAGAAATCACACGGGTTCAAATCCGGTGAGTATTGGTGGCCATTCCATGCCTGCTCGGGTGAAGCGAGGATACCCTTAAGCCAATGATGCGATCACCGTATACTTTGTGCAATGCAGAAAACACATCATTAGTTCGATGAGGTGTTGCACCATCTTACATAAAATAGGAATCTTTCACCAAAGCTTTTTTCTTAGCCAATGGAAAAAATTTGGTTTCCAACATCTCTCGGTAATTCTCCCCTGTAAGCGGTTTTGCTACTGATGAATGTGGGTTTTCACTTCCTAAAATCGATAATGTTGTTTATTCACGGAGCCATTAAGGTAGAAATGAGCTTCATCCGTGAAAATAATTAGATTGGCTTCGATTTCAGCATTTTCAAACATTTGCGTCAAAACTTTGTTGAATTCAAGTTGTTTCCTTATAGCAGCTTGCGTAAGCAATTGGTGGGAAGTGATTTTATAAGGATGAAATTTGAAGAAATGTTTAATTATCAAACGTAGGGTCTCTCGGTTCAATTCTAACTTCGCAGCCACCCTACGTATTGAATCAGTTGGATAATTTTTGAAATATTTTTCTACCTTGTCCACTACTTCTTCCGTCGTTACTGTATAAGATGGGCGCGGAAGATCATGGCGACGATCCTGTAAGGTACCATAGTTGACAAAATTATCAATTACCCTACAAAAAAGAACACATTGCCTCAAAAAATTTATTGGGGACTAAAAATTTATTGGAAACTAACCTAAAAAAAAATCTTACAGGAGAACTAAAAAATTCCTCCCGTTTGAGAGTGGTTTCACTCCTAATTCTGTGACTACCAAACTTACTACGAAAGCTTCTATACGCATTTGTGTAATTTTCTCCTCGGGAATAATAGCACTCAATGAGATACATTTTTTCTTCGACAATAACCTCACTCATTTTGGAGAATATGAACTAGAGTGGAGTGAGTGACCCCGGAGTGTCCCAACAGAATTTTCCAGACTCCAAGTTTTAACTTACAACAGCCGAATCCCTGGTGACAAAGAATGTATGAAAAAATAGCAGAAGGAAAAAATAGCCGATGTGTAGTAACACGCGTCGTGTGTGGTAGACGACAAAATGACCGTTCATTTTTGGTCCTTTTTTCCGCCTACCCCGAAAATGACCGATGATTTTGTCGCCTACTACGCACAACACGTGTTACACCCATCGGCTATTTTTTCCGCCTACCGGTGACAAAGTGGAGAAGAAAATATGTGGAAAAAGTTTTCCCTTATTCCAATTTGCCAGCCTGTATATTCATACCATTGTTGGGCACCATTTAGTGTCATGTTTGTTTTGGCTTTAGATCTTCGAACTCTGTACTATAAGATATAAATATTTTCGGAGTTATTTGAGACTAACATGGACGATACAAACAAAACCAATTATAATTACCATTAGAAACCACAAAGTCTAAAGTGTGGTGCGAGCCATGTCGTCAAGTTGAATACCTGTTGAAATATTATCAATGAGAATCGAGACGACGAAAAACGACATAATGCGAACAAATTCCCGAAGAAAATTCATAACACAAAATCCTCAAAAAATATAATCAGATATACATTTTAAAAATAATATTGAAATTCAATTCAATTTTAACCAAACACGTACACTACTATAAAAGGCTGTAAAGTAGGATACCATGACGTTCAGCAATGGGGTAACAAATTTTAAATGACTCAATATATATTTCATTCTTTTTAGGATATCGATGGCCACTCCTTGCTTCTTATGAAACGTTCAGACGTTCTCATTGGCCTGGACCTTCTCCTCGGACCAGCCCTGAAAATCTACAGACATGTGCTCAAGCTGCAAATGCGTCGTGATGATCCTCGTTTCTACTGGCTATAATGAAACGTTTTAGAACTTTATTAATCCCTTAAAAATTTCCCACTGGGCGCTCAATTGACCAATTCCTATTGATTCGCGTCAATTCAAAGAAATTATTCAATTTCCTCAGTCTTCAACGAACTTGATTGATGGCGTAATAAGAGGAAACAAAACCAGTCAATTTCTCATAACGGACTGGATATAGAATTCTCCCAATAATCGGTGATTTGAAGAAAGTATATCAATTTTTCTTTGTTAACCACGAAAAATCTGTTAATTTCCCAGAAAATTGTAGATTTCAAAACCAAGAACTCATGGATTTTTTTGTCTTGTCTTGTCAAGAGTTAAATAGAGAACCCTTGTGCTCATCTAGTATTATGGCAACACTAATAAAATCATTTGTTTCCGAAATATATGTATTATTAATAAGAAATGCAACTTTTTAATACTTCGGAGTTTTACATTTAAGGGACTCTCCGTCAACTCAAATCCTCTTTTTCATCGACATTCTTAAAAGTTCTAAAAAAAATTTGAGGTTGTTTTTGTGCTTGAAAAATTTTTCCCTGGGTTTTTTTTTCGGTGAGTGCCAGACATGGATAATTCTGGATTGATATTGATTTCAACAGTTTGGAATGCTTCAGTAACATTTTTATCGATATTTCCATACCTAAAATTTGTATTTTTCTCCAGCTCTTTAGATTAAAAAATCTGAGAATTTACATATTCTCAGATTTTTAAATAAATTTTTAACCAGTTTTGTCAGGAAAAAGTGAAAAAATTCCATTAACTTCGCACTTTCTTGACTTCTGGTACCTTCAATTTTCATGAAAAAAAAAATTGCATAATCCCCATATGTATTGTAACATGATAAAAATCATGTACTGTTCCTCGCCTGAACTGACCGCGGATCATGGGGGGAAAATTAGTATCTTACCCCAGCGAGGAGTCGGATCACCCAGGGCCACAATTGTCATTTTATTTTATTTACCTTCTTTCCATCATTTTCTCGAACTCTGTCGATCGCGCTCACCGTGGGTTACGTGAGCTTCGCGGCGAGGGGGGTAGAGCGGAGCATCGGGAAGGGCTACAAGACGGCGCTATAGCTGAGGAGCAGCACACCGACGAGCACGCACACACCAAGTCTAGTGACGCGGCACTCTGTAGCCTTCAGCTATCCCATGAGTCTATTTTACTATGAGTATTACTAATTGATCATTATTACTAATTTCTTTTTCTTTGTGGAAAACTAGTCTTAACTCATTTATTATGTCGATCTTCCCCAATAACTTTTCGTGTCGTGGCTCTCGCATCGTCGTCGCTTACGGGTGATCCTCGCGTCTTAGCGTCTCCCACGCATCTCTAAGATTATTATTATTATTTATTTTATTTAGTTAGTATCACTAAGTTAATTACATTTTTTTTGGTTTGTATAGCGTCTTTGCTCGCGGGAGTCCTCTCCCGTACGTGTACAAAATCCTACGTTGACTCTCGTGTGGACGAGTAAAAGATCATACTTAATTCATGGATTTGTTATACCCCAAATAATATTATGAAATTCCTCTGCTGATTCGGATAACATAAAGTGACGAAAGTGGTACGCGTTATGCGAAACAAAACGGTGGAATGAGGTAATATAAAATAACGTCGAATACTCGTGAATTAAACTTCACGTATAAACGACGAATGTGGATAACTGGGGCGCAGCGTCAGCATTTTGCGCCCCGACGCCTGGCCTTCGCGCGCGCTGGGAGATGTCACCCGATGCAGGTGTGCGACGAAGAACAACGACCCGATGCAATCGAATTACATAGGTGCATAAAAGACTGGTGAATTCGTTGCCTCGGGGCCAGTTACTCGATGAGTCTTGAATTACCTTTTTATACTTATACTCGCCTGATACCTTCAGTATCAATCCGAGTACTTATTTGTTTAATAAATGGTAAACTAATGACACAAGTTCAATTTTCAATAAAGATAATTATTTCTACCGTCTAATCGCGTGTAATCAATCCCTACATCGAACCCAACCGCTCGGGTCCATAACATATTTGGTGGCAGCGTAATTTTGGGAAGACGGAGGCCTGATCAACCACTGTCTACTTATACAGTGATAGAGAACGAGACATTATCTGAGGAATTGGACTACTTGGGGTAGTCTGGCCAACACGTGTAACAACTCTTTTCATCGCGGAAGCGAGAAGATTACCTTTGAGGTAAGCAAGCCGAAGATTTTTTTCATGGACCTTTCATCGAGGGGCGAGAAGATGATCATTGTGTTAGCAACGGAAACCTACCCTACTACCTTCGAGTAAAAAAGGGATAGTACAGTGGAAAACCTACCCTACTACCTTCGAGTAAAGAAAGGATAGTACAGTGGAAAACCTACCCTATTACATACGAGTAAAAAAAAGGGGCTAGTACGACGGAAAGCTATCCTAGCAAGAAGGGATAGTGCTGAGATAGTAGCTACTCAGGTAAGATTATTTTATTTTTGGCCAAGGGATAAATAATCGATACGTCAACTTCAGTAGCTAATGGTAGTCGTCAAGAAAGTGATTTTGATTCTTACTCCCTCTCTGCGCGGGGAGCAAGGAGGAATCTATTTCATTCGGATGGGGAGATTGACAGGAATGTTAACCTGCGTCGAGGATATACCCAATCTTTGCATCAGAGCATGTTAGCCGCCAATCAGCGACAGTTACGGGCTGAGGTTCATCAGGAGGCTGGGGACGAGTTACCGGACGAGTTGCCTAGGGCTGGGCTAGCTAATAGTACGCAAAGAAATGAAGGGAGAATCTCAAATTCCCCGAATAATGTACGTCTTCGCCCTGTAAATCCTTCACAAAATGTGCCTGGGAATCCCTTCGATGACATCGAGGAAATTCAGGAGGAGGAAGAAGGAGCAGGGCAGACTAATGAAACACCTGAACAGCCATTTTCTACACGAAGCAACGTCTTCTTTCAGACGGGGGCACTTGGAGCAGGGGGTTTTATTCCAAATCGGAATCTTGAGGATGGGCGTCGTGAGACCATGCAACTCGACATAGAAAAATCGGGGGGAGGAGCGACCGTCTAGACGTCTTGATCATCTCAGAGGGAAAATCGTCGATTTGCATGAAAAAGTTGCGACTCTGGAGATGGGAAACAGGAGAAGAGAGGAAAAAATGCGGCAACTCCTGGAACCTGAGCTTCTTCATCGGGAGGAGGCAGAAAGAGAGAGAAATGACGTCAGAGATCTGCTAGCAGATGCCTGGGCGGAGCAAAATGTCCAGAATAATCGGGAGGCCATACGGACGCATCTCGATTTGAAGGGCGCACTGCAGATGGTTCGCAATTTCGGAGGAGAAAATTCAGACAGATTGGATGCCTTCTTGAAATCAGTTGGCAGCGCCAGGAAGCTAATCCATCCGGAGCTTCAGGATCTCCTATTGGAGGGGATTCTTGGTAGTAAATTGGAGGGCAGCGCCATGAAACAACTGAAATATAGAACAGTAACGTCATTTGAGCAATTAAAAACTGAATTAGAGTCACTTTTTGGGAAAACAAAGAGTCTCTTGGGGCTTCAGGTGGAGTTTAGTAAATTGCAACAGAGGGAAAACGAAGATGTTACCAAATATGTGGCTCGTACGGAGGAAGTCACTTCAGATTTTCTAAACGGCCTACTGAGTCTTCACAGTGAGTTCAGCGAGCGCGAGAAACAAGCCTCGTAAACACTGATGTTGACGCTTGCAACACTCATGTTCGAACAAGGATTACGTGGGCAATTGCAGATTCTGGTACGAGCTCATAATTTTAAAACTCTCCATGATGCTTGTGTGGGAGCCATTGAGCTGGAGAAAATTATATCTGGCACGCACAAAGGGAAAAATGGAGGTATTACAGTGACACAGAAGAACTTCACCGGAGGAAACCGAAATTCTCTGAGTAGACTATCAACTGGAAAATGTTTTACCTGCGGACAACCGGGACATCAGTCGAAGGAATGTCGTAATAACGGGCACCGTAAGTCAACATTACCAGTTGCGTCAGAAAGACGCAGCGTCAACGCTTTCGAGACTGTTTGTAAATACTGCAGATATGCAGGTCACGAGGCTACGGACTGTCGTAAATTGAAAAAAAGATTCGGGATACCAAGTTCGCAAAAAATTCCATCAGAATTTACTAATTGCAAAGATGGTATGGCCTCGATATTCAAACACAATAAAGCGGCCGGCAGCAATAATAACAGCTTTTCAAAAAAGAAAAGTGAGAAAGCTGATGCTGATAAAGTACTTCCAGTAGGGGCCTATCAGGTGATGATGATGAAACCTTCGGAGAAGGGGAGGAAATCTTCAAGTAAAACTAAAGGGCAGATGATAGAATAGAATATGCGCGGCTGGTCACTTAAAGCGCCCAGAGTCACCTAAATCATACGATCTTTTGTAACATCCAAGGGGAGATGATAAAACCAGCAAAATCTGGTGAGATTAAAACGCAGATTTTACGGAATGCAGTAGAATTGAAGGAGACTACTTTGTTCCTGGCTGATTCTGGAGCGAAAGCATCTCTCGTGCGGAAAGATAAGCTGAATGATGATGTTGAAATCTCTCCGGGAAATCGAGTGCTGAGAGGGATCTCCAATCAGGATGTCGCAACCTTGGGGGAGGCGGTTCTATACCTGACAATTGGGAAAAAGTACCTGGGACATGTGTTTCAAGTGGTACCTGAAACTTTCCCTTGCATCGGGGGAATCTTGGGCGAAGATTTTTTGTCTTCACCTAGCCTAGAGGTGGAAACTATTCATGGGAAGGCTTTGATCATCAATGGACGTCCTTTCGACCTGTTCCAGGACAGAGAGTCCACAAAAATAGAAGCTAGGCGTGAGGTATTACTGCAAGTACCGACACGTAGCAGAAATACGGGTATTGTTCGGAAGAAACAGGTGGCGAAAGGAGTTTTTATGGGAGAAAGGCTGACGAAAGTAGTAAACGGCCAGGCAATAGTCTGCATTATCAATACGAATGAAAATGATGTTTTTGTCGATTTGCCGACGGTGAAACTTGAGCCTTTGCCATCGAAAGAAATCATTATGATGCTGAATAGTTCAAAAAGGTGCGAGGTAAGAGATCGCATTAAATTGCTGCATGAGAATTTGAGAATTGATCATCTGAACAGGGAGGAGAAGGAGTTTCTTTTGGAAATTTTGGAGGAATACAATTCTATCGTTCAATTGCCGGGGAATTCTCCAGGAGTGACTGATCATCTAGAACATGAATTTCCATTAAAACCTGCCACTGCGCCCATCAACGCGAGACCTCATCGGTTATCTGAGGCGCAGATGGGAGAAGCTGACCATCAGGTCAAAGAGATGCTGCAAAATGGCGTCGTACGACCTAGTAAAAGCCAGTGGAATGCACCTCTGCTCATTGTGC